TATCCCTCCCTGCTCCCCTTTTTCCTACAGGTACCACAACGTGGGCATCCTCGTGCTCTTCCTGCACGACGTCAATGACGTGCAGCTGGAATTCACCAAGCTCAACGTCTACTTCAAGCACCGGGGGGGAGTCTATCATCGCCTCAACGACGTCATCTCCAACATTGGCTGCCTCACCTTCAGCGTCAGCTGGTGAGTTTGTCTGCCTGATCCCCCTTCCAACCGTCCTTGCCAGCTTTTGCAATCCCCCCGGTGCCTTGGGGTACAGCCGGCTGAGTTTGTGTGCATGGGAACAAGCCCTTTCAAAAACTGTTTGGGAAGAGGTTCCTGCAGAGCCTGACCCCATGCTGGGCTTGGAATCCTTCTGTAGTCACTTTGCTGTCTGTCACCGCCTGTGAAATCTCGCTTGCAGCATGACAAATGACCCCAGGGGAGGAGGAGCTGTTTCCATTTTCACACTTGGTTTTAGCAGTAAGAAGCACTTTTGCAAGAAGGAAACGGGACGTAGGGCTGTCCCAGATTCCAGCCTTGTTACTCCTCTTGGGGCAAAGCAGGAGGGGGAAAAAAAAAGATGAAGACAGGGGATGGGTAACCCACAGGTTGTCACTCCTCATTTGTCCCTTGTCTCCTTCCTCCCTCTCTGCGGGCTGCTCTGAAAAGCAGGGGTGGCAAAAAGAGCCCTCAATTTGAGGGGAGGAGAGCAGCAAAGGTTTTTAGTGATAAACTAGGGATGCACGGGACCAAGAAAACCTTCCATGTATTCTCCTCCTGTCCCCCATCCAGCTGAGGTAATCTGCACTGTAGATTAATCTGCCTCTCTACCCTGAGAAAGCCCTTTCTCTGCCCTGCCTCTGGTGCCAAGACTTTTCTGCCCACAGAAACTGTATTCTCCCTTCAACAGCTGCCCTTTTTCGGGGTCGGTGTGAAGTCCTGCCTAGAGCCAGACCTGTAAACCCAAGCCAGATGCCAAGAGCAGGGACTGCAAGGGGGAGCTGTCGAGGGCTGCCTGGAGGCAGGAGGTTGTGCTGGGGGAAGCTGCGCTGGGTCTCACGCCTCTCCCGGGGTCCCCGTGGGCCGTTAAACCCACCCTGCTCCCTCTGCCCTGGCAGGTTCTGGTTCCGTCTCTACTGGTTTCCCCTCAAGGTGCTCTACGCCACTTGCTACTCCAGCCTCCAGTTGGTCCCTAATATCCCCTTCTACTTCTTCTTCAATGCTCTGCTCCTTGTCCTCACTCTGATGAACATCTACTGGTTTCTGGTGAGTAGGGGGAGCTCAGCAACCCCTACGCTAGCTTCTCCCTCTTCTGCTGCTCCTGCATGGTGCCTGCTGCCTGCCTGTCTTGGGGGCAGCTGGGGGGACTGCAGGGATGGGGGAGGCTTCAGAGGACCGAGGGATGGCTGGGAGGGGAGGAGGGAAACCCATGTCAGTGCCTGGGGGGCTCCTCTGTGCTGGAATTCAGACTGTCTCGCACCCCGGGGATCCCCGGGGAGGGAGCGATAACAGCAGTTGGGGCAGGCTGGAACTTGATGTGGGTGTAAAAGCTCTGGCATCCCCTGAAGCTTTGGGGAGGGTGTGAAAAGGGTGGACTTGGAGGGCTCACGCCAGCAAGCTCAACCCCGGGTAGCAACCCAGTGGGGTTGAAATCAGTTAAGGGTAGTTGCAGGAGTGCTGCCTCCCGCTGCTGCAGGTCATCAACCGCATCCCAGGGCTCTGGCCATCCCAGAGGGATCTGCCCTGCCCTTCCTGGGGCTGGGGACAGCGGAGAAAGGTCCCGCTTAGCAAATGGGAGTGAGTAGGTTGGGTGGAGCGGCTCTAAGCCTTGGGGTTTGTGGCTGACAGTGTCGCTCCTCCCACAGTACATCGTCCTGTTTGTGGCCAAGGTGCTGATGGGGCAGATGCAAGAGGTGAATGATGTGCGTGAGTACGACGTGGAGGACAGCAAGAAAACCACAACGGCCAGGAAGAAAGAGGCTGGACTCCAGCTGCCCAGTGCTCTGAAAGAAGGGTATGTGGGCAGGGCGGGGATTACACACATGCACAGCATCTGTGGGCCAGGGGGAGGGATGCTGGCAGACCTCCCAGGGCTCTGGAGCTGTCAAAGGGTTCACCACTGGGCTGGAAAACAGAAGAGCAGCAGGATGCCTTGACACAGAGTATAAAACATTGCTGCAAGTATCAGGAAGGACTTTATATCTCGATGCCTAGGCATTGTGGTGTGTCCATCTTTCTGTCCCGTGAATCCTTCCCCTGCTCACCGTGTAGGACTGGCTCTTTGCTTGAGGCTGTTCTCTCTGAGCAGCATCTGCGCTTCATGTGGTGAGCACAAAGTCTGGCAAGATGCTGGATCCCCCAGAGCAGGTCTGGCTGACTTGGGGACAAATCGTCTGCGTGAGCCTGTCAACACAGGTCTGACCTCCGTAGTGATTTGTGAAAGTAAGAGAGGGAGAGTCTGTGCGGAGACCAAGGCTCACTGTCTGCTGTGCTCTCTTTCACAGGATGCGCCTGAAGAATGGACTTGTAAAAGACAAGCGGTTATAAGGGGAGCGTGGCTGCTGCAGCCTGGGCAGCCTGGCTGGATCTGGGGACTGACCCAGGACCCTACACTCAAACCCAGCAAATGAAAGGCACAAGGAGAACTTCATCCCCGATACCCTTTCATCCCCTGCCCGGAGCCGGGGAAGAGATGCCACTGACAGGATCAGGCCCCTCCTGGGGCTTGCCTGTGACCAGGCTTCACCTGATGCTGATGTGCTTTCTGTAGCCGGTCTGTGCTGGTTCAGTTAAGAGGCTGGTGGCTTTGCTGGTCCAGGTAGGATTTGGAACTGGCTTTAGGTCCCCTGGTGTTTCTTCTGTCGCTCCATTCCTCGGCTATTCTCAGTCCCTTTGTGGTTTCCCCTGTCTTTATTGTTGGTCCTTCCCACCGACCCTGCCTCAGCAGCGCTGAAGGGTCCTCTGACCCAGTGTTAAACTGGGGAGGGAAACGTCCTCTGCTCCATTGGCATCACCGTCCCAGGCAAGGGGAGCCCAAAGCCAGCTCTTCTCTAGCTGCCAAGCAGGGACTAGGGAGGTGATGCAGCGCACCTCTGAGCCTCCCTCCTCAGGAGGGGTCACTAATACAGAGCCGCCCACATATATCGGGAGGCCCAGCACAGTTTCCATGTGCAGGTCTGCCTGGAAACCCAGCCCTGGAGCATTGTTCCAGCCTCCTGTCCTGCCAGATGAGGGCCAGGAGATTTAATTTGCTTAAAAAGCCTGTGTAAGCCTTATAGTTACTTAAAAAGCCAGTCCCAGTCCTGCAGGGTCCCCTGATGAGGCATCTCTAGAGTCTCGCCCGGTAATGTCTGCTTGCTTGAGTAAAGAGCAAATAGTTTCTGCTCCCCATGCTGGTTTTCCAGGCAGCACCAGCCCTGAGCCTTGCAGGGTCCCCGGCTCTGGGCTGGGCTGTGTCTCTCTGCTGGGAAGCCCTGTGGATTTTACAGCCCCTCGGACCAAGACTGTCCCACTGCTCTCCGCGGGGCCAGGACCCACAGCTCCTGCGTCCTCCCTGGGACGCGGAGCTCCCTCCCAGCCAAGTGCAAGAGGCAGTGGAGGGGGGGGGGGATTCAGGGCATTAATTCCAGCCATCAGAGGGTGGTTAATTGTTTGTTTTTTTTGTGTTTGGTCTGTCATATCGATTCAACTCCAGGCTCATTGTGTGAGCCCCGGGGAAAGTTCTTTGGTAAACAGAAAGCGAAACGTGACTTGGGCTGATAGAAACTCTCCCAGGCTGTGGCAGGATCCATCACCTTCTCGCTCCTCGTCGCCTAGCAGGGTTTCAGAGGGGTGCCTCTCAGCGCTTTAGTTCCTTGGCTTTCAAGCGGGATTTGCAGGAAGGAGGAAATGAAGGGAACCGATACCCCGGGCCTCTTTCCGCTTGGTCATAGCGGAGTTGGGGCAGCGACGGTGCCGAGTTGGGCCAACAGCGGTACCTAGTCATCGCCTGCGTGGGTAAACTGAATTTCATAGTACCGGCTTGCCCAGGCTTCAGCATGAAGCTGGGTAACTCGTTGGCCAGCACTGTGTGTGTGTGTGTGTGTGTAACATCAGGTGTGCTGCCTGCTGTTTTGCTGCGATGGCTAGAAAGGGGCTGTGCGAACGGGGAGGCCACGGGGCTCCCTCTGCCCGGCTGGGACGGGGACCCTGTGCCGGGGATGGGTGCTAGGGGTGGGTGCTGATGGCTTTCCGTGCTGGCCCTGGGGCTGCGTGTCTTGTGGGCAGGGCGGTGTGTGTGGCCGGGAGCTGAAGTCAGAGTTTGATGATTTGATGTGCTGAAAGCTGATGGAATTAAGAGAGAAGTGTGGGATGCAGTGACTGGGGGAGAAGAAAAAAAAAAAAAAGCTGATTTGGGAGGAGGGAACAAGAGGAGACCCAGATCCGTGTCTCCCCTGGATCTGGGTGGGATGTCCGCAGTGGATGGGAGCAGTGCTCGACTTGCCGGCAGCTTTGTTGTGGGGAAGAGCAGCCCCTTCCCTGCCACCAAGGACTTTGTTGTTGGACCTCGATGGTGTGGAGATGTGAGAGAGATCGTAGGAGCTCTGAGGGAGGAGGGCAGCTGCCCTCCTGCCATGCAGCCTCAAAGGGTTAACAGGTCCCGGGGAGCCTGGAGGGACCATTCACACCCTCTGCCCAATCCTGGGAATCCCTCTGTGCTAATTGAGCACTAACCAGATCAAAGACTCCAATCAGGCAATCAACACCCCCCTGGCCCCTGTCTTCAGGTCCCCAGCCCAGGCTGCTCTTTGTCTGCGGGAAGGAGAGCAAAGCAATGTGGCTTCTCCCCACACACGCCAGCTTTAGAGCCGGCCTTGCCTGGGCTCTCTTTAGCATGGTGCTGGGGATGGAGTTAAGTTTGCAGGAAAGTTTACTGTTAAAATCCTTGGGTCTGAGCGCCAAGCCCAGCCCCAAAACCCCCGTTCCTGTGCCGTCTGTGCTCTGGAGGATCTTCCAGAAGAGAAAGACGCTGCCTTCTACAAACAAAGACCTGGCAGATGCTTGTAGGGTGGAGGAATTTAATGTCCCTGGGAACATCATCCGTGTCTTCGCTGACCAAGGTACAGAAATGCCGTGGTTCGGGTCCTGTCTTTTGGAAGCCCCTCTGATCTCTGGGCTGGGAGACTTTGCTCCAGTCCTTCCTTTTCTGTCTCTTGGGCGTAGGTAGCAGAGGCTGGGGGAGGACAGGGCAGCGGCCAGAATCAGTCTCCGAGAGAAGTTACTGCTGTGTGAACTCTGGTCCTTCTGGATGTTGTAGATAACTATTTGCAGTTTAGAAATGAATCGGTGATCAAGGCAGTGGGTGAGGGTGTGGAGCTGTGCAAGGATCTATCCTGGAGTCACCTAAAGCAGTGCAGCGGTGCTGGTTTGGTTGTAGGTGACTTGGCTTGACCCGTTGGGCTCGCGGTGGTGGAGGTGACTCCTCGCCTGGGCAGTGGTAACATGGCTGTGGGTGCAGCGAGTGAGACCAGCACCCCGCTTTGGGTGGGGACGGGATGCCCGGCCGTCCCCCCCCCCCCGTCCTCCTTTTTGTCCTCATGCCGCTGGCTGACCGTGCGGCACAATCTGGCTGCTTCAGCCTGTGGCCTCTGAGCCGTTCTCAGTTCTATGGGAACTGTTTGGTCGGTGTCCTCTAGGTCTCCAGACACCACAGAGCTCGCTTCTCTTGTGGTTCCAGGTTTCCAGCGGAAACCTAGGGCTGGCTAAAACAGGCAGCTCACCGGCTCCTAAAGTTTGCTGCTATTTGCCCTCCTTTCCCCTCCATCCCAAAGGCCGGCACCCACGACAACCCCCCTGTCCTGCGGGGGAGATATTTACAGCTGGGGAAAAATAACGCACCAAGATGTTAAGTAGTATCTAGAGGAGATGCTGGAATGGCCGTAGCATCCCAGTACTGCAGGCTGGAGCCCAGGCTAGCATCTGTGCCTCCAGACCTTTCTGAAGGCCGTGCCATCGGGCTGATAGCCCTTACTGCAGCACCGTCATCTCGATCCAACGACTGCGGGCGTGCTTGGCTGCCCGCCTCTGTCAGCCTTCCTCTTGCTGTGCAGCCAAGAGCTTAAATTGGAGCACTGGGAGGCTGATCCTGCTCAGTGTAACAAGGGTTCAACCACCACCACCTCTATTTCTCCTTCTTTGTCAGGCCACTTCATTCATAACGGGCAGCCCCAGAGGTTGCTGTGTCTGCAGAAGCGTCTGTACTTTAACCTCTCCGTGCTGGAGGAGGGCGAGCTCTTGACGATGGCTCAGCTAGAGATCAAATTCAGCCACAACTCCTACCACGCCTCCAGCCAGGGGCAGGTTTTTGAGCTGAGGCTCTACCAAACCTCCCAGATGTCTCTACGGGGGATGCCCTCCTACGAGCACGGCCGAAAGCTGCTGGTGGAGCAGTCCTTCGCCCAGCTGCACAAGTCTCTTCTCTTCAACTTGAGCGGGGTGGCGAAGGAC